CGAAGGAATTATTTGAAATAATTGCTTTTCCACAAGTTTAATCTTTGTTCTTTTTTTTTTTTTTTAGTTTTTTCGTCTCTTTTTTTTATTTTAATCATTCCTGTCCAAGTTCATATACTTGTCTTTCTCGGGTGGAAATAGGTTCCAAAAAAAGTTTATTCGTCTTTCGCCATTTATAACACTATAACTCTTTTATCCGCCAATTTCCGTAGATCCTTTATTTGACTTAGCAATGCTACAAGTCAAAACGCACATCACCTTGGAAGTAACTCGATCCCGCACATAGAATTAGATTTGTATTGAACTATGGAATATGGGGTGGCGCAAGGAAAATGGAGATTGCCTAGATCAGAGGGGGGCAAACTACGGCCTACCAAATGAATCTATGCGGTCCGCCAAATGTTAGTAAATTTGAAAGAGAAAGTTACCAAGCAACGCCAAATAATTGTTACAAGCAACTTGACGCCTATTTATAACAAACTGATAAATGACTGCAGTCATTGAATTATTGAGATCCTTCTGATTCTGAGTTATTTTGTTTTTCAAACAAATCTGTTTCATGTGAAGTTTCTACTTTAAAATATCTATGTTTTCTCTTTAAACAGAATTAATTTGATTTCAAACAAATCTGTTTCATCTGATGTTTCTACTTTAAAATATCAAACATTTTTCTCTAAACTGTATTACTTTGTTTTCAAACAAATCTCTTTCATATGAAGTTTCTACTTTAAAATAGCAATATTTTTTTTAAACTGAATTAATTTGTTTTACAAATAAATCTGTTTCATATGAAGTTTCTACATTAAAATAGCAATATTTTTTTTTACTTTAAACTGAATTAATTTGATTTCAAACAAATCTGTTTCATATGAAGTTTCTACTTTAAAATATCAATATTCTTTTCTTTAAACTGAATTAATTTGATTTCAAACAAATCTGTTTCATCTGATATTTCGACTTTAAAATATCAAACTATTTCTTTATACTGTATTACTTTGTTTTCAAACAAATTTGTTTCATGTGAAGTTTCTACTTTAAAATTTAAATTAATTTTTTTTCTTTAAATTTAGTTACTTTATATGTGTTTTATTTAAATTTTCTAATTTAAAATATTAATAAGAATTGTTCATTGTGCAGTGTTAATTTGTTTTTTCAAATAAATGTATTCTACTTTACAATATTAATTAATAAAATAATTTTCTTCTTAAAACAACATTATTTTGTCTTTCACATATGTTTCATGTAAATCTTCAACTTAAAAATACTTACATGTTTCTTTAAAGTACATTTAACTGAGTCACTTTGTCTTTCAAATAAATGTGGTTGATATGAATCTTCTACAGCCATTTAAAATGTGAATTAATAAAAAATTAACTGCATTTTTTCTTTAAACTTTAAATATTACTTTGGGTTAATATACTACATGGCCGAATAAAATTGTGAGTTTTTGAATGTGGCTCTTGTACTTAAATGTTTGCCCACGCTTGACCTAGATCGAATTTAATACCAATAAAGAAGATTTGATCTAAGATAAGTTGACCTATGATGACCCCAATATATATTGGGCTCACCTAGTTGATACCGACATAGACTTAGCCCACAGCACCGCGGCAGTGCGCAATAGAATCCAGTTGCAACAGCGCATCGATCTGGAACCTCATATCTACCAGGTGTAGATTCGGGTCTTACAGGATGTCAGTGAGTCCTCAACATGTAAACATGTATTTGACGCAGTTTAGGAAGTGCATATGTAAATGACGGGGGAAGATATTAGCGCCCTACAAGAGAAGACAAGTAGACGAAGAGTGACTGTCATATACACGCGGTAGGGAGGTATACGTTTGAAGAATGCCCCAAAGGTCACGCACATAGTAGACGATAATATTTGACAAAGACCAAAGAATAAAAAAAAATACTTTTACATATGAGAAATTTAGTTTCGTATTTATATATCTCTAAAAACATGACATCTTCTGCTTCAGTACGTGGATGGTAATGGCTCTCAACAAGTTCCTGTTTTTTTTTGTTTTGTTTTTTTTTTGTTCTTTGTCAGCTAATAGTAAACTTTATCATGTCTTTTTTTTCTACTAAACACTATTCTGCAAATCATTTACGCAAACTCGTTATATAGATTGAGTTCTTTTCTTCTGTTTCTCTATGACAAATTTCCTAAAAAATGGCATTTATCGCTTTCTGGGGTTAAGCATACCCGGCTTTTGTATGTCCGTTTACTCTGAAACCGTCTCATGTTCGGTCCTAGGTAAGGCCAGAATCTGAAAGTAGAATCAAATCTGTTTCCATGTGTTCCTATCTATCTATCTATCTATCTCTCTCTCTCCCTCTCTCTCTCTCTCTCTCTCTATATATATATATATATATATATATATATATATGTGACGTCGTCCTCGGGTCGCAGCGTCGACTATGTCGTTCGATCCCGGTCGCGGCGCCAATTGTGACGTCACGTACTCCCCAGACTCTGATATCCTGGTCACGGACAGCACCAGTTGTGACGTCTTTGCCGCGGCGTCAGCTGTTCGCTCCTCGCTGCTCCAAACGTGACGTTCTAACCCTTTGGTTAGATTGATACCAGCCTCGTCGTTTCCAACCCGCTTCCAACGCCTGGTTACCAGGGTAACTGCACTGATCTCCAGTATGCCTACCCACGTTGTGAATTGATCTTAGACAGACGAGATCAAACAGGGGTTGGGGCCGTAATGCAAGTTGAGTCTAACGGGGGTGATAACACACAATTATGTATAAAAAAAATAAAATAAAAACTCACAAGGTCCAACGTAACAAATAAAAAGGTAACAAACTTTTTATGTCTATTTGCTCGGTACATAGGACGATATCTACTTCCCGACCCGTTCTGTGGATTGTGGTACGACGTTTTACTAGGCAACTTTAAGGCTTCAAGTTGTCTGCTCTCTAAGAAATTTGTGTTTCGGTGTGTCTTTGGACGAAAGTCGAAAAAAAAACTTATTTCTGTGGTCTGATTCTAAGTCGCTCTTCAAACTACTTGTTCTTGGTTGAAGAAGAGTCCAGAAGTGTGCGTGAATCTTGGTCAGCTATCTTGACGCGTTTTCAACACTGGGCGCTCATCTCTGCTTGTCGTCCACGGCTCAAAAACTCTTTCGCAGTCCGCTGCTCAAACTCTCTCTTTGTCCGCGGCTGAAACTCTGATTTCTGTCGGTTGGGGTCCCGCTTTTATTGACGCAGTCAAAACTGGGGTGGGTCTGTCGGCGCCAGGGGTTTTTCGATAATTCTAAATACGTATCCACCCTTCTTATTTCTGGTTAGGGATTTTCCATTTTCGGTAACTCACTATCACTCCCACTTCCTTACTGTGCCTCTGAGGGGCGTATACCCGATTCTTTCGCTTCTTCGTATCGGCTCCTTACACTTACACTTCTGACAAGGGCGTCGACCGATTCTCCTCGTGCGTCACTTGACCGCTCTCGGCCAATGAGGTCCTGGTCGGGTATCTTTCCCCCTCCTTCGTGTGTCATGTTACCGCTTTCGGCCAATGAGGTCGGGTATCTTTCCTCCTCCTTCGTGTGTCATGTGATCTTATTTAGCCAATGACGTCTTTAGTCGGGCGTGGACAAACCATGGCTTTGTTTTAGGAAAGAACACCTTGTTTAAAAAACAAAAATATTAATTTAAATCGCCCTTATCATGAGCGACTGAGATGACACCTTCGGCTTTTTAACACGTGGTATTTGTCAAGCAGTTTATCGCTAATTGGATATGATCTAAGAAAGGAATTTCTCAGACCTTTTGGCGTTTTGGAACGCAATAAAAATATTTCATTTTCCCCCGCTTGAAGGGCTGATAATAAAAATCTTTATTATCTCAAAAAAAAAAAAAAAAATTTCCAGCGATATCGTCTTGTGTGGCTTTTTCTAATTCTGGAGACTGTCTGTGTTTTCGTATTAATGGTTTGCCTTCATATCCTTAGATACACTTCCCACCTGTTACCTATCATCCCAATGACACACTTTCCACTTGCTACTTATCAATATTTTTCATTGTCCCTAAACTTCGTTTCTTCAACCAAGTGATAACAACTTCCATTCCCCCTGATCTCGGTTAGATGCTTGACCTGGATAATTTTTGGATACCTGTTATCTGTCAGTGAGCGTGTGTGTGCTCGCTTATGACCTGTTTTCGTATTATTTTTTCTTTCTTTCTTCTTCGTTTTCTCTTTCCTTCTTCCAGATCGCTTGAACGTAAAGAAAGAATTATTCTTAAAACCCAAAATATTTTTCGGCCCTAAATAATTATTAAATGGTTGATAAACCGTAAAAAACAAATCATATATCTATGAATATTTCTTTTCAGCTCGTCAGGTATGCATGGTGCAACATATATATGTCTGTCTGTCTCAGTGTGTTCATTATCTATCTGTTTCTAAATGTTTCTTAATACCTTGCTAAGCTTTTGGAAAGCATCTTTCGCTTTCCATCAACCTATTCTAACCTCTTCTATCTATCTATCTATCTATCTATCTATCTATCTATCTATCTATCTATTTATTAGCTAGCTATAGCTAACTAGATAGCTAAATCTGTTCATATATCTATCACTATATCTATCTCTCTCTATCTCTCTCTCTCTATATATATATATATAGATAGATAGATAGATAGATAGATAGATAGATAGATAGATAGAATCAAACAGATAAATAAATAGATGGATAAATAGATACGAATAGACCGAGATAAATAAATGCAGACTGATATAGATTACTAGTTAATTACATAGATAGATAGATAAATAGATAGATAGATAGATAGATAATGAACAGAATGAGATAGATAGATAGATAGATAGATAGATAGATCTTCATATCTATATAAGTTTGTTACTAGCTATATGTCTATATCTCTATGTAAGTTGGTTCATATCTATCTAAATCTATCTATCTATCTATCTATCTATCTATCTATATATATATATATATATATCCGTTACTATTTTGCTATATTTAAATGCGTTGCTTAGCTTTTGGAAGGCATCTTTCGTTTTATATTAATTTATTCGAACATCTATCTATCTATCTATCTATCTATCTATCTATCTATCTATCTTTTTTCCTTATATATCTCTATCTATATTTGCAAAAATTTCCAGATATTTTGCGTTATTCAAAATATATGAGAAAATATTTTTCTACTCTCATTTCTGTCTGTCATTTTCCAAAAATTATAAATTGAAAACGAAAACATATTTATGACGAATTTTTTTTTCTTTTTTCAATCCTTGAATTGTTTATCCCGTATCGCATCATACCTCACAAATTTTCTGTTCACATAAGAACAAAATGTCTATAGGCTTCCGCGTTGTTGGCGGTTTCAGCCTGCGTGTCTCGGGAGGCGGGTTTTAATTATATTTTCGGTTCATTTATTTCCAGATTTGAAGCAACGGAGACTGGAACGTACAGAATGGTACCTATTCTATCAAAGACAGAATGTGAGCATCCTGAGAAATTTTAACGAAAGTATTAAGGAAATGGACAGTTAATAAGAAAGAGACAATTGATGTGTCTATGGAACGTAAGGTGTAAATTGAGCTTAAAGAATTCGATGCAGGCGAGGCAGGGTGAAACAACGGGTAAACTACTTAAAGAGTTTATGTGAATAAATGGCAGACCGGGGACTAAGAGGAGTGGTCATAATTTAAATGTTCTTTAGAGCTACAAGAGATAGGAAGTTGTAAAGATTGAAGACAGAACATAAAAAAATGGTATATTTCACCATCTGATTTTTCGTTTCTTTTCTTTGCATCTGTGTTTCTCTCTGTTTGTGTGACTGTCTTGTTATAACATTTCACCACAAACAAGGCGTAAGTGCCTCAAGTTTGTTTTACGGCATATCAACCTCAATGTGTTTTTTAATGCCAGCAAAAGTTTTATTTCTGTGAATATTCTTTTTCAAAGATGACTGAAAGTACAGTCGAAAGTACTTCTGTATTAAAGAAAGACCTTATACAGTTGATAATTTTTAAAAACAAGGATCATAACATTCACTGAATGATTTTTAGGTTAATGCATCTTTGAAATTTTGTTAGCAAAAGGATTTCGCCATTTTATATATTTAATGTTACTAATTTATTTTTGTATGAATGATTCATTGTAATATATATATATATATATATATATATATATATATATGTGACACTATTTAGTGGTCGCGTGAAAATTAAAAGCGAGAAATAATTAAGGCGAGAAGAAGAAGAAATCACGAAAAGACATACTGAGTGATGTTATTTTTTTTAACAAAGAAAAGTGGTAAAGATTTTATTTTCATTTGCGAAGAAAAGTATTTTTTTCGCAGAAGATAGGAAATTCGTAAGATCTCGGATCTGTCGAATTAATTCATGCTACGAGGCGGCGAATAAAAGATAGCCATCTGCCCATGGCAATAATGAAAATTTCAGATTGGTCAAGTGGCCTACAAAAGAGAAGCTGGGAGATAATGGTAATCAGGTCACGCACAGACCGGGAATGGCATCAGTTTGGACCACCCGCAAAAAAAAAAAAGAAAGGAAGGGAAAAGAGAAAGGAAAAGAATAAACCATTAACTATCTTTCGGAGATATCATTTGGTTTTGGGAAAAACACCTGTTTTATATTCAGACCTGGCCATGATAAGAGTTTGTTACCGGGAGAGATAATTAGCGACAGAATGCGAATACGTCCAGTTAACCACCCACTTGACGCTGGCGAAAATCACGTTGATAAAGTCCAGGTGACATTCGGTTAAGACAGAGATTAAGGACCACTCTATGAGTCGTAGGGGTTTGATGTCAAAAAAAGAAAGAAAAGAAAAAAAAAGATATATTTTTTTTTCTTTGAGCGATAATGGTAAACATATGAGAAAGAGGGGAAACCTGTTGACGCCCTCTGAGGGGATTGGTATGAGATACCAATACGAGAAAGGAAGAATTTGGGAGGACGATACCCTTAAGAACCCCACTAAAGCAAAAAGTAATGGACTTCCAAAAATGGAAAGTGATAAATTTTCCCGTTCCGAAAATAAAGAAAGTCCTTATTGTGGATTTAGAATTATCGAGGAACCCCAAACCACGACAAGCCACACCCGGTTTTGGTCGGCGTCCATATAAAGTCGCAGCAAGTAGACGGCAGTTGCAGTTGGAGTTGGAGAGACGCAGTCGCAGACTCAGACAGAGTTGAGCTGTGAGCTCTGAGACCAGCCTCCCAGGAAGCTGACTGAAGATCCACGCATCCCGACTTCGACTTCTAACCAAGAAAAATTTGTTTTTGAAGTACGACTTAGACTCACACCACCAAAACAAGTTTTGCGAATATCGCCTGAAGATACAAAAAAAAAAAACAGTTATCGAAAAACAAGACTCGCCTAACAAACGCAAAGTATCACGTATCCATATTAGCGGCTTGGGAGAAACACGCAGTCCTGTATTCAGTAACCAGATATAAAAATATTTGTTATTCTTTTTTTAACACATTTGAACTTTTTGAGTTGTTACTTTATTTTCTTTTACATATACTTGTGCGGTGTTACCTTTGCTCGGACTCGGCTTGCATTACGGCCCGGCGACCGATTGATTTCGTCTACCTAAGATCAAATCCCAACGTGGGTAGGTTAGACTAGAGGTCAAAGCAATTACTTCGGTAACCAGACATTGGAGGCGAGCTGGGAACGACAAAGCTGATACCGAATCTAACCAGATTCCCATTCGAATCAGCCAAGGGTTAGAACGTCACATTTGGTGCCGTGACAGCAGGATCACGTCACATTTGGTACCGCGACCAATACCAAGTCACATTGGTCGTCACAGGATAGCACACGGGGGCAGAGAGGCCTGGGTGACGTCATATATATATATATATATATATATATGCGCGATACTTATTGGTAACCGCTCATCATCAGTGAGGGGGTTTATGTTTGTGTGAGCTGCAGTGCGCGAACCTGCGTGAATGTATGTCTGCGTACGTATGAGTGCCATTCCGACGACAATTTTCCCTCCCACTACCATAAAATCACCGATATACGCAACTATAAATAGATCCAAAATTTCACAAATTAATCAGTTTGTCTGACGATGACAGAAAGGGTGTCCATCACAGAACGAAACGGCTCGGTTAAGGTAAATTTTCTTTTCGTCTTCATTCATATCGGATGTAAACCACGATGATGAGCTGTGATGAACTGTATTAGTTCTGGCCAGCGTGAATACACATCTACCACTATTAGTAATTACCCCACTCCATTAACATGTGCATGATCCATGTGTACTCTGTCGTAAATTTGTTACTCTTTAGGCCATGTATGTGTTCTTGTCTGTCTAAATTTTTGTTGTGGAGTTATTTCGCGGTGGAGGCTTGTATTTGTACTAAGTCGGTCCTAAAATAGGTTCGACGTACAAAACGTTAGGAACTTGATATAATAGGTATGACGCAGAGTAATCTTATTGTGGTCGCTGACTACTTTCGTATTCGACTAACTCTCGACTACTGTCATCCAACATCGACTAGTATTTAGTTACCCCACCACGAGGGTATCATGTGGCACAAGGCCGGCTTAAGGTGGGATCTCAGAGCCCGTGAGCTCGGCCAAAATATACCCTTTGAACCCGTATAAACTGGTTCAGGGTCGGTTTACCTCCCCGAAAGTGACTTCGGTATAGCCTCGTTCGGGTTCCTCCCCGCCCGAAGGCAGAGAGTTCAACCGTTCAGCCGGTCGACTGACTGACCAAACTGACCCTCGTTTCTCTTACTACTCCTACTTATATTAGGTGGGAGAGCCTATTAACTATAGAATAGGGGTGTTTCACCATAACAATTTTCTCATGACATTTCACATTTTACACCTTTTTATGTGTTCTGTTACATTTGTAGAATAGCCTGGCCACCACGCCTCTAGTCTTAAACTCTTTTGCGCAGATGTTATTCCGCAATAAAAATCATGTAGATTTTTATAATTTCTCTCCTTTACGTTGCTGGCGGAACCACTACGCCTCCATTGTAAATTACACCCTTTTCTACGGTTAACTTGTGTCCAACCGCTTTAAAACGCCTTTCTGTCCGTGAACAATTATTCCACTTATTATTTTTTTTAATCCTGAACAACATAATGTTCAATATGGGATCTCGCTTCGTATCATCTGTTAATTTGCCTATCGGCAAAATATCAGTTTCCACCCAATGCAAGAAAGTATCTTCGAATTATTCCTCACTTTCAGAAGTAATAAACTTTAATCTCCACATAGCGTCTACATGCGAAATGAAATTGCAATTCACGTACTCAATATGAAAGACGAACGCCATTAACATTAAGCCTCATCTTAGAATTCTAGAAGACGTTACCTTAAGAAGTTTCTTCCTAGGATTAAATATGAATTCTAAAGGTCTATAGTCGGACCTTAGTAGGAATTTCTTTCCAACGGAAAACTGACGAGCTCTATTTGTCGTCCATATTATGGAAAACGCTCCTTTCTTAATATTTGAGTAGTTCAATTTTGCTTTTGACAATTTCATGTTTGAACGATGCATAAAAGAATGACCATCATGAGCTAATATTTCCGTAACTGTGTGTTCGCTTGCTTCCGTTGTTACTACTAATTCTTTTCTAGGGTTCAATATTTTCACTACTGGCTTCTTTTCCAGAAGAGCTTTTAAATTTTCAAATGCCACTTGTTCTTTTAGCCAAATAAATTCCACATTCTTTTTTTTTTCTTAAAGCAACAAAAGGTTCTGTCAATTCGGGGTACCGCTCTAGATATCGTCTGTAGAAATTTACAAGAAAGAATGATTCCAATTCTTTCTCGTTCTTAGCTACTTCAACTTTTAATATTTTGTCAATTAACGATTGATCTAGTGATATGCCTTCGTTACATATGGAATATCACAAAAACGATTTTTTTTTTTAGTGTTGTGCACACATTTTTTTTAGTTGACTTATATAGTTAAACGTCATTTTTTCCAACTGTCTTGGGTGTGCAATTGCTGATCATTTTATAATGGCCTCACAACCAACAGTGGCCAACAAAAGATCAGTTATCTGGTTTTCTTCTTTAACTGAGTTTAAATCCTGTTGCTTTTGCTGTCTAGCTTTAGCTGCTAGTATCGTAAGCCATGCGTGCGTAGTGACAATTATCAAGTGAAAATAGTCCGTTCAATTCGAAATCGAACGCCATTAATATTAAGGCCGATCTTGGAATTCTAGAAGACGTTACCATGAGAAGTTCCTTCCTAGGATTAAATATGAATTCTATAGGTCTGTGGTCAGACATTAGTAGGAATTTGTAAACAATTTTTAAATTTTCAAATGCCACATTCTTTTTTTCTTAAAGCGACAAAATGTTCTGTCAATTCAGAGTATCGCTCTATATACCGTCTGTAGAAATTTACAAGAAAGAAAGATTCCAATTCTTTCTCGTTCTTAGCTACTTCAACTTTTAATATTTTGTCAATTAACGATTGATCTAGTGATATGACTTCGTTACATATGGAATATCACAAAAACATTTTTTTAGTGTTATGCACACATTTTATTTCTTTATTTTGTTAAACAAGCATTTTTAATTTATTCAAATCCATATCGTTTTTTTTTCCATTTTAACCATTCTTCGTTAATAGCACCAACACAAATGTCATCTTGGTAGCATATTAAATTTTTATATCGCTACAAATAACTTGCTCTATAGCCATTTGAAAAATCGTACTTACGGTTTGAATGCTATAAGACATCCTTTTCCATCGTCATAAACGCATTGGTGTGTTTATTAATGTGACTTCTTTAAATTAGAAAAATTTTAGAGAATGTTTTCATGCCGTGCAAGTGAGTTTAAAACCTGTTCTACATTGGGGATTATATATGAGTCTGCACAAATTTTGTGGTTTACAACAAATTTGTAGTCACCACAAATGCTTAGTTCCCCATCCTTCTTTCTTAAAAATTACTATTGGTGAGATCAATCTGCTTCCTCCTGGCGGAACTCGTTCAAGTAGTTATTGTTCCAGATTTTCTTTTTTTTTCAGTTTTTTTTTCCAAACTATTGATAGTAGATGGACTGGAAATATTTTTTGTCCTTCAAAATATGAGAGGGTGACATTTTCTTTTAGTCAGTATATATATATATATATATATATATATATATATATATATATATAATGGAATATGCATACACCTGTATTCCCCACTCACTGGAATATGATTGGCTGGTGTCCGTCATAAATACCGACGGACTTGTAGGTACGACAGAGTCAAGAGCCTTAGTCTGAGAGCTAAGTCTATAACGACGCCCATTGGACTACGCCATTGATCTACACTTCTTACCTGCGACTACGACGCGTACCAGTCGATTATTTGTATTCTACTTGGTTATAGTAACTAAAACCACTTAGCTACTCCGTTCAAATATATCCCTTTCCGGGACTTTTCAATATATATATATATATATATATATATATATATATATATATATAAGTTTCATTAAAGACTACTGAAAAGATAGTGCGATTATTTTTATTCATTTGTTCTTCTGTTCGTAAAAGTGTTTTCTTTTCTGGACATAAAATGCGCAAAATCTGTCTGAATCTTCTGTATACACGAGCGGTTTCGGCTATTCTGTTAAACATTATCAAAAATGTTTTTTTCTAATTATATATTTTTAAGTGAATGTGTACATTTTTTTTTATGTATGCATCGAGAGTAATTGTATGTTTTTGTTTTCCAAATCCTGTCAGCATATTATGGCCGTGTTCGTACTTGATGTTATTGATTTTTTTTTATTATCGTATTTGGAAATCAAAGCAATTTATACAATCTCCGTAATACAAAAAATAATTACAACCACATTCCAGTCTTTTATGAAAATAATCAGAACCATAAATACCCATAATAATAATAATTCTGAAGCAGGTGCATATAAAATAAATGTCACAACTGCTCGTCGCAATACATTGGTGAAACTTGCAGAAATTTAAAAAAACGCGTATCTATATACGCAATTATACTCTCAGACACAAAAATTTATCAAATGCGTTAGTTATACCACAAATTTCGTGATAACTATTGTTATAAATAAATAGACGATCATGTCTTTCCTTCCTCTTTCCAAAGAATAACATCTCTTTCCTTCCCGTTGCACCTACGCCATAAACACTCCTATTTATACGTATGGTAAAATTAAAGTGTTCGTCTATATTTTATATGTTTAGTATTGGGTTTATTTATTTATTTCTTAGATTTAATAATTTTCAGTAGTTTTGTGTATAAACTTGTGCACAAAGTACTTTTGTAAAAGTTTAAATAAGCAATCATCTTGGGACCAGGAACGGATTAATCTATTTTACATTGATTCCTAATGGAAAAATAGTTTCGGTGTACGAATATTTCGGCTTACGACCGGGCTTCAGGAACGAATTAACTTCGTGAACCAATATTCCACTGCACACACACACACACACACACACACACACACACACACACACACACACACACATATATATATATATATATATATATATATATATATATATATATATTAAGGCGGAAAGCCAAAGCCACTAGCACGCAAAGGGGTTACAGAGAGTTGGAGCGAGAGCAAAGAGGAGTGATAGAGAAAAGGATGAAGAGAAGGATAGGGGATAGATCAAGGCATCTGGAGACGTCGATTGACATTACATTTGAATAGTTGGAGATTATATCAATCAGGGAAACAAG